TGCTTCCATGTATATCTGCACACCAGAAGAGGGCTCCAGATCTCATAACGGATGGTTGTGAGCCACCATATGGTTGTTGGGAATTGGACTCAGAACCTCTGGAAGAGCAGCCAGTGCTCTTAACCTCTGAGCCATCTCTCCAGCCCAAGAACATGGTTTTCTTAAACAGCAGGAAAGCATTTTGTTACTAAGTAGTGAGAAATCCTCTCATGGGGAACACATCTTCTCATACTGGCTTCCAGGAGGCATCCTTATCCTACATCCTAGGCAGGGAAAGCTATGTGGAGAAGCCAGGACAGCACAGAGAAGTGGGAGCTGGGGTCCCCGTTGCACTCCCAAATCCTTCAGTTGTTACTGATGTGAGTCATTAGCAATGGGCAGGAAGTTGCTTTGGTGAGATTTTACCAGAAAAATGCTCCCTGCTTTTCTCTATGCTGCCCCACACATTTTGAAGTACTCTAAGGCTTTTCCTTTAAAGTATTCCAGACTTCGAGAGACCATACCTGGTTGGTGCTCTATTCCAGGGAAATCTAAAAAGTATGGGATTTGACTTGGCAGTCCCAGTTCTGGATCAACTGAGGAGGCAACAGGAACTCTCTCACACCAGTTCTTTAACACACCTGTGTAGAAGTGGTTTCCTACCCTGTGGGTTCATAGCTGAGGCCAGTGTGATAAAAGAGATGAGGCAGAGGGGCTGGAGAGATGGCTCAGGGCCTAAGAAAATATACTGCTCTCCTAGAGGACCTGAGTTCAGTTTCTAGCACCTATGTCTGGTGGCTTACAATGACTCCAGCTCCAGAGGACTCAAGCACCTCTGACCTTTGCAGGCAGTTGTATATATGTATACATGCCCCCATGTATATGAATCAAAATATTTTAAGGATGTTATACGAGCAGGAAAAAAGCATGTGGATTAAAAACTCCCCCTGGCTCAGGAATCTTCGCAAAGAAGTGAAGACCCAAAGAAACAGGCCTGTGCATTTTTGTATTGGGGTGGAGGTGGTGATGGCCCTGGGAAAGATGAGTAAGTAGAATACGATCAGATAGTGACCCTGCAAGGTAAGTGTGTTCGGATTCTCCTCTGTGCCCTGCATTTTCAGAGACAAGGTGGTCCCTTCCTCCTGTAGGAAAGCAGGCCTCCAGAGGTCTCAGGGCCCTTCTTCCTAGGATGCAGGTCCCACCTCAAGGATAAGGGCGGCAGCATGAGAGTGATGGAGGAACTTCCTGGGATGTCTTTCCGAGAGGCTGAGGTAGTGGTTTGGGGCTATAATGTCCTGAGTCCTATGCCCTAGCACACAGCAGGCAGGCACGCAGAAAACAGAAAGCCAGCCTCAGAATTCTCTTTTTGTGTGTGTGTGTGTGTGTGTGTGTGTGTGTGTGTGTGTGTTGGAAGCCACAGGTCAACACTGGCTTCCTCAATTGGTCTCACCTTGTCTTTTAAGACAGTCTCTAACTAAACTGGAGCTCACTGGTTCATCTAGTCTATCTGCCCATCAAGCCCCCACATCTGCCTAGCTCTACCTCCCCAAAGCTGAAGTTACAGACACATATCACCACACCTTGCTTTTTATGTGAGTACCAGGGATCTGAACTCAGGTCCTCACACTTGCCTGGCAAGGGCTTTACCCACTGAACTGTCTCCCCAGCACCCTGCTCCAAGTCTTTGTAGGTATCTTGTTGTCTTGCATATTCTGTGATGATGCCAGATGCTGGGGCCACTGTCTGAGCTAATCACAATTTACCAGGCTTGAAAAGATGATCTGTCTTTAAGGCCAAACCACCCACATCCCAGAGGACGCCTGGCTCTGCCATCAGCCAGCATGCTGCTAAGGGGACCCTGAATCTTGGACAGAAATGACCCCCTAATGAAGTTCTTGGTGACAACTGACATCTAATGAACTTTGGGTTAGCTACTCTGCTCAAAGCACCCACGAGCAGCTCTTACAAAAACTGTGCTGGTCAGGCATTGGCACACCCCATCTAGACAGGGAAATGGAGCATTGGAAAGACCACAGGGCTGTCTGTTGTATTCTTAAGTCCAGCTTGGCCACCTGATTAGATAGCTTCTCTGCCTTGACTTAAAGTCTCAACCTTGTGAAGGCAGAGCGAATATCCAGCCTAAGGCTTGAAAGTTACTTGTGGACATTACATTAGCAGTACGGTGCCACCATATTAATCTGTGGAGACAAAGCCATTTCCCCTTCCTCCAGTTCTCAGGTTGTCACAGACATTTGCTTCTACCTAGGTCACATTAAGCCGTGGCCTAGAGTTCTATACTTTCGGGCTAACACAGCTGGAAGAGTTCTAGGAAGAGGAAGAAGGCCCTTTTACAGCTTGCGCTCATATGCCACAAATGGTGCCACAACCTTTATAGAAACATGTGGAATTCAGATGTAGGCCAGCCAAGCTTCAATCCCCAGCCTACCCCATCGACTGTCCCCAGGGAACTACCACAACAAAGAATGCAGGAAGGAAGCAGAGGGACAGGCCAAGGAGGCCCTTCTAGAGAGGCTGGAACACACTGGGTGCCTGTGCCTCCTCATCCCCCACCTCACTACTCCAGGTATGGCTCTAACATCTCCCAGCTCTGTGACTCCAAGTTCAAGGCACCCGCTGGACTGACCTCTGCTAAGGTCTCACTGCTTGGCTACAGGTGGCCACATTCCACTGTGTCCTGACATGCTGGAGGTAGAACACTTATCACTCACCCCCTTGTTCTAGAGGCTCCAGTTAAAACCTGGGTGGTAGTGGTACATACATTTATTTCAGCATTCAGGAGGCAGAGGCAGGCGAATCTCTGTGAGTTTGAGGCCAGTCTGGTCTACAGAGCTCGTTCCAGGACCGCCAGGGCTACACAGAGAAACTCTGTCTCAAAAAACAAAAACCAAAACAAAACAGTTGTTGTTCTAAGAGCTCTAGCTGTGTTGAGTTGGAAGCCATACTTGATGAGCTTCACCTCCACACAGAGCACAAGGGCTAGGACCAGCTGCATCATCTGAGTTTAGAAGGGACACAACTCAGTTCTGAACAGACACCATGAACTACAGGACTGGCTATGACCTGCTGATACCTATTAGTGGGCATGGAATCAGGGTTCAGAAGGGATGGGCTTCCCCCACTTTTGGAACCCCCTAGAGACAGACTTCCCAGGCTCTAAAGGAGCTCATGCCCCTCTCAAGACACTCACCATCCTTCCTCCTCCTGGGCAGGCCATCATATGGACCTGCTCCATGTGACAGTGACACCCTGTTGAGTCATACATTTCTTCATACAGATAATAGGGTTCTGTGTGAGCCACAGGCAGGGGGGGTTAAGGGTAACTCCCTCACAGCTACTGCTCGAGGCATCCAGAAATCAAAGCAACCGTGAACTGCGCACAGGGGGCAGGGCCAGTGGTGCTGGGCTGTGAAATGGCCGAAGAGAAAAGCCTGGAGGAAAGTGACCCTCGAGTCTGTCACCCAGCAACCGCAGCTGCTGCCCCAGAGCTCCTTGGTCATTGCCCTGGTGTTTTCGTTGTATCGTTGCTGTGACATGCATGACAAAAAAAATGACTTAAAGTGGGAAGGGTTTCTTTTGGCTCACTGTTTGAAGATACGTCTAGATATCCTGGTGGAGAGGGCATGGAGGTGGAGTTACATTCCATCAACCAGCAAGCAGGGAGAGATGGATGCCTTTGCTCAGCTCACTTTCTCTTTTTCCATTCGGTCCAGGACCCCAGGCCGTGTGATGTTAGTGCTCACATTAGTGGGAGTCTTCTCTCCTCAATTAGCCCAATCTAGATATTACTCCAGACATGTTCAAGGGTTTGTTTCCATGGCAATTCTGAAGCCTCCAGGCTGCATGGCGAGCATCTTACCCCTGACTTTCTGGCCTGCAGGTGATCCTGGGAAAGCTGTACGAGACCAGGAGCAGTCAGTTGAGGAAGTACAAGCCGCCCGTGAAGCTGGATACTCTCTGGCACATGCCTCACTTCCAGAAGGTCAGTGGCCCTTTCACCCACCTCCTTCTGCACCAAAGCTGGGCTAGCTGATGCTCACTTGTCACAGAGTTCTGTGGGCTTCCGACTGTTGATGCTCAGAACACAGCAGCAGATGATACCCAACATCTGTGAACTTTTCCTCTATCCAGGTTCGGAGCCCACTTAGCTCAGCAGATTCTATTTTTCTAAATGTGCGTTTAGTGTGTGACCAGAGATAGGGTAGTAGGCATATGTGTGCATGTATGTGAATGCAGATGTCTATGATGAGGACAGCCTTGCGTGTCACCTGAAGCCAGGTGGATTCTTGTGTTGGTTGTACAGAAGGCTAACTGGCCCACAGCTTCTGGGTATCCTCCTGTCTCTGCTTCCCCACCCCATCAGCCCTCAGCTAAGACTCTTGATACGCTCCCATGGGTAACCTGCTGATATTGACCTGTTTTATAGACAGGAAACATGGAGAATGCTGGGAAGAGGCAGAGTCTTGGGAGATTTCAGGTCATCTCAGCATGTGATGGCTGGCTACCTGGAGGCAGAGGCTGTCTTGCGTAGAAGCATAGCTCTAGTGACAGGGTCCTAATGTATCTTGTAAGGGAAAGATGTACCCAGACAGGAAACAAGCTTGTGCCCTCACTGCTAATATACCTGAATGATGGTATCCTGTTGATAGACAATGACCTCAGGTTCCTGCCCTGGGCGGGTGCTGAGTGAAGATGAATCATGATGCAGGGGCTAAGCTACACTCTGGCTTTTGAGCTGACTTTGTGTTCTTTCGCCCATGTGGTCTTGTAATACCCAGACAGAGACACACGTTCAGCAATTTTTAGCAGGACAAGGACAGTGTGTGTGTGGAGGGTAGGGGAAGTAGCATTGTACAGACTAAGGGAACTGGAAGGCTGAAAATGCTGGGTTCAGGACAAGAAAGAGGCTGCATAGGCTGTGTGTACCCAACCCAGGCAGAAAGAGTCTTTCCTGAAGGTCATGAGGGACGTCCCCGGCCCCATCAAGACAGCTGCACAAGCAATATTCCCAGCCAGCCAGCCAGCCCGGCTGTGCTGCTTAAAACTGCGAGTTAGACAGTGCAGGGGCCGCTGCCTTCCTGAGCCTAATGCACTTGAACAAGCTGCTGAGCTTCGGCAGCAAAGCTGCTTTGGCCCACTGGATGCAGCCTCTCGTGTCCTGCCCAAGTGGCCTCCGTCGACATATGTCAGTGACCATGTGCCCTGCTGCCCATCAGCCCAGGCCTCTGCTGAGCTCACAGCAAATGTCACCGAAAGAACATGACCAGACACTGATCAGGAGGTGGCAGGAGTCATGGACACACTGCCACTTCTTAGCACCTGTCAGCGAGGAGCCTCAACAGCAAAACCCTCCCGTTTCTCCATCTCTCTCAATGTCCCGCACAGATCCTGCTACAGCATTCCGTTGTTCACAACCTCCTCCCGGGACCCTCCTCTGTTTCATTTCCTCCTTGGCCCTTTTTTTTCCTATTATGCCAGTGACCAAATGCATGTAGGCATCTGGATGACATTGCCAGAGGGGCACCAGGACCCCCAGCTCCCAAAGGCACAAGATGCCCTCCAGGTGGCCTCTATTTTTACAGTAGCTGGTCCTGACAGGAGCTCGAGGGTAGAAATAATTCAGTGTTTCTGTTTGCAAGAGAGGGGGTTTGTGTCAGGGTCTGGGGAGCTCTGCTACTCATTAGGACTTCTGAGGTGCTGTTAGGAGTAGTAGTGACCCAGCAATGACAACTCTTTCTGGTGGCAGGTGTCATGTGTGGCTAATGTGGTATAGACAATGTCATTTTATCCTCAAAACAAA